ATTGTAGATGTAAATATTGTAGATGTAAATAAAGAAAATTATTGGTTTGTAATCTACTTTAGAGCATATTTCTTGACCTTTGAAAAAAATTAGAAATGAAATATGTGATATAAAATTCTTCATTGCAAATAATATCTTGGAATTTAATCAAATCGTGCATGAGACATTAATAGGTGTTGTTTGTGTTGTTAATATATCTGGAATAAACTTAGGCTAAGGATTAAAGGCATAAACCCTTACCAGGATGAAAAACTGATATTCCCCATTAACCTTTACCAGGTTGAAATATTATTACTGATATTCTCCATTAACCTTTACCAGGTTGAAATATTATTACTGATATTCTCCATTAACCTTTACCAGGTTAAAAGATTATTACTGATATTCTCCATTAACCTTTATAAGGTTAAAATATTATTACTGATATTCTCCATTAACCTTTACCAGGTTGAAATATTATTACTGATATTCTCCATTAACCTTTACCAGGTTGAAAGAATTTCACAGATATTCTCCATTAACCTTTACCAGGTTGAAATATTATTACTGATATTCTCCATTAACCTTTACCAGGTTAAAAGATTATTACTGATATTCTCCATTAACCTTTACAAGGTTAAAATATTATTACTGATATTCTCCATTAACCTTTACTAGGTTAAAATATTATTACTGATATTCTCCATTAACCTTTACCAGGTTGAAAGAATTTCACAGATATTATTCTCATTAACCTTTACCAGGTTGAAAGATTATTACTGATATTCTACATTAACCCTTACCAGGTTGAAAGATTATTACTGATATTCTCCATTAACCCTTACTAGGCAACAAGACTTTCACTGATATTCTACATTAACCCTTACCAGACCAAAAGACTGTTACTGATATTCTACATTAACCCTTACCAGACCAAAAGACTGTCACAGTTATTTTCAGATTTTGTTTTCTTCTCATGGTGAGAATATTAACCAAATTGCTTGAAACTTAGTACAAACATACTAAATAGTTTTTACTTCAAAAAATTTCTATCATTTTGATGTTGTGAAACCCTTTTGAAAATTTAAAAATACATCCTTTGGTCTTAGAATTTCAGTTATTTTCTTGTTGATTGCAGTAGTCATCACTTCAGACTATAAATGGTAAAGATTTATTGGTGGCCTAGGACCTCATCTTTCAAGTACATTAGTCAAACTAATTAATGTCATAAACATTCTCATCTTTGATTAATGTGTTATGTAATTACACATTGATTGTATCCATAAGCACATTAACTATATCAAAATGGTTTTTCTTTATACTGTGGATAATTTTTAATTTAAACATTTTGCTATCTTTGTTCTGTTTGTCTTTTTTTATCATGAAACAAAACTTGCATATATAAGTTGTATTTATAGATAACAGTTAAATTACAGGAATACCACCAGAATCAAAACCCACAAGATCAGTTAGAAAATGGAAAATACAGAAGAATGTCACTGGTAAGGCTTTCAATAAGTTACATGTTACAAATAAAAAAAATGGAACCTAAACTGTTGATCAGTCTATTACTCCAGAATTATTAATGTGTAATTTTAAGTTTGTATGAATCAATTGTAATAAAGGTGCTGCATGTTCCTGTGAACGAGGATTACGTAAAGTTTTTAAGATATTTATCTTTACAGATTCAACATATTTAAAACAATGTAGTTTTTTTTCTTTCCATAATTCCACACTGGTTTCTTATGCAGTGATTGTCCACACTCTCCTAGCAATGCAAGTTTTTTATAAAACTTGCTCACCCAGTATTGAAATCATGTCTTACAATTTTGTTTATTATTTGCTTCTCCCCCTACCACTAGTAACTTGGTAAGTATGAGCACTTCAAATGCTAAAAATCGAGTTTCATTACCCACAGTGGAGAAAACACGTAGTTCATTGTGTAGCTTTCTTCTTAACAACAAAAAAGAAAGTTTTATTTTAGTACAAAACTATTAATTTACAAGATTTTTTAATTTTAATGCAAGATAGTTTTAAATTTCAGTAAAGAATTGTTATTTTACAGTATTTATTTAGTTCACTACAGAAATATTGTTTCTAACAGTTTTATTTTATGAGGTTTTCTATTTCCAGAAATCACTAAGTATCAGAGCTTAGAGCCCGTCCTGATAAAAGATATTTTAGCCAAAGCTTCACCTGGTGTTTTTAAAGTGTGTGGCTTTGTTATTGGAGTTGATCCTCCTGTCGACCCTGTTGAAGAGTTTTTACACTTGTACTGTCCAGTATGCAATTACATGTAAGTAACCATACTTCTGATTTAACTTGTTTCATTTCAACAACAACTTTTCATATTCTGCATTTTATTCTTTCACATCTGTCAGAGGGGTGTAGTCACAGTTTTATATTTTACAACATTCTGTGTGTAGGATGCTTGCAAGGTGTATATACTTATCGTAACATAGTTACATCCTTGTATGGAGGATTATTCATTTTTTCAGCACAATTTTCAAAAGCCAGATTGTGTTGTTTGATAAGTTTATTCATGTTTCAATTTTAAAGTGACTGTTGATCCTAGAACATAAAATGTTTTTTGTCTCTTTTTCAGATCAGAAGATATCAAGTGTAATGTTGGCTATTTTCGAGAAGAAAATGGAGTTCGTTTGTACTCTTGTCCCCAGTGTGCAAACGTGCCTTCCACATCATCTAGTAATTTTTTTATCTTAATACGTGTATTGAATTTGAGTGATCTTATAGCTGTCTTCAGTACACAAGTGTTCCTGCTATGTCATTCACTATTTTTAACCGTATGCATACATGTGGGTCAAGGTGCAGATGTCATGACCTTTCTATAGAGTTACATTCAAAATTTCATTAAATATCTTTATTATTAATGTATGCCATTAAACTTGGCATCCAAATGCAGCTTATAATTTAAATTTCAATACTATACAAGTTTTAATTTATTAATTTCAAAAGGAAATATTTAGATATATTCTTCACTCCTTTTATTCTACTCCTATGTTAATATTTTGAGTTTGACACTTCTAGATACCACTAAATTATAACATAAATTTCTAGCCTCTTAACATTACTGATATCTCAACAAGAAAGTCAAACCAACATGCTGTACTCTTCTTATCACAATCTGTCTTTCAGTTCTCTCTCTCACATTGCTATTAGTCATGCTTATAACCAATAGGAAAAGCAAGTTGTACACTGCATAAACCACATGATCTGTTGTTGTTTTTAAAGTCACTAATTTGGCTCAGTGAACTTCGACTGAAGATGTAGATGTGACAAGTAATTAATTATTTCTAACCTATTTATTGATAAGTTACAGCAGTCTTTGTACACTTTAAGTTAGTAAGTGATAAGTTTTTGGTTTTATAATATTCATATTTGATAGCTGCAAGAATAATTTATAGATGAGAAACATGTTAGTAAAACATGGGTTATGAAAGTAGGTTTTGAATACAAGCTGACCTAGAGCTAAGATCTAAATTATTTTATCCATATTTTTATTTATTTTCCAAAAGTAACTAAAATGTAAAAATAAGTTATAGAAGAAAACTAAAATGAATGAATGAATTTATTTTTTTCTTCTGTGATCACTTCTCAAAGAACATGTAATCAGTTGTCACTTTGTTTACCCTAAACTCTCTGCATTTCCCCTGGGTGATTTATTTCTTGTCGTGGTAGATAAACACGATTGAAATGAAGAATAAAATTAAAGGAAAACAGTCATGAAAAATTAAAAGGCCTAAAGCTCTTAAGATAGCTAATTGTAGTTACCTGTTACAATCTCCAATCAGTCTAGAAAAACAAAACTTTTTGGTTTTATTTCATGGTTTTTCAACTTTTGTTACAGTTAGTGTTAGGGTAGAGAAAATAAGATATAATGTACAAAGTTCTACCAAAAAAACTTACAATATTCATGTACAAAGTTCTAGGGCTTCTGCAAATGAAAGAATAATAAAACTAATATGGAAAGAAGTATTTGTATTTTAAGCATAAAAAAATCACCTTTCACTCAGACTGAGTTACTAAAGGCCCTGTAAGTTCACAGATAAATCTTTAGTAAAAATACATTATTCAAAAGTCTGATTTTTTTCATGTAAAGCAGACTTGTAGTGTGTACTAAAAAGTTGGCAAGTGTTGTGAAAATACACTTGGTTCCTTCAAAGTTACAGTAAGCATTAATTCTTTAACTTAGGTGTTGGTCCAATGGAACAACCTGTGCACATAGGGTTAAAAAATTACATTAGATGTGTTTGTCTTACAGTGATTTCAAAGTAAATATTTACAGACTTAATAGTTTTGTAAATATGAAAATTGCAGAAATGAAAGTGATATTAAAAGTATTTAGACTAATCTCTTTTACCTTGTAATGGATAAATAGTAATAGTTGTATCTTGTAATGGATAAACTAATAGTTGTATCTTGTAATGGATAAACTAATAGTTGTATCTTGTAATAGATAAACAGTAATATTTATGTCTTGTAATGGATAAACAGTATTAGTTGTATCTTGTAATGGATAAACTAATAGTTGTATATTGTAATGGATAAACAGTAATAGTTGTATCTTGTAATGGATAAACAGTAATAGTTGTATCTTGTAATGGATAAACAGTAATAGTTATGTCTTGTAATGGATAAACAGTAATAGTTGTATCTTGTAATGGATAAACAGTAATATTTATGTCTTGTAATGGATAAACAGTAATATTTATGTCTTGTAGTGGATAAACAGTAATAGTTGTATCTTATAATGGATAAACAGTAATAGTTATGTCTTGTAATGGATAAACAGTAATATTTATGTCTTGTAGTGGATTAACGGTAATAGTTGTATCTTGTAATGGATAAACTAATAGTTGTATCTTGTAATGGATAAACAGTAATAGTTATGTCTTGTAATGGATAAACAGTAATATTTATGTCTTGTAGTGGATTAACAGTAATATTTATGTATTGTAATAGATAAACAGTAATAGTTGTATCTTGTAATGGATAAACAGTAATAGTTGTATATTGTAATGAATAATCAGTAATTGATTTCTGTGATTTAAGTCAGTCTGAGTGTAGATTGTAACAAGAAACTTCAACCACTGCTGACTATATGGTTAAGGTTGGCCTGAGGCCTCGGTTTTTCTATCTTTCTGAAAGATATGGTTTTTTACATTTGTTACAGAAATTCTCTAATGTAAAAAAATTGCACAATACCTTTTTGCACATCTTTTCTCAATAATATCGTTGTGATAACTTTAAAAAGATTTAAGTTTTGCTTAATGAACTGTAGTCAGATACTGTGTAAGTATTTGTTGTCATAAGTTTGTTATTGATTTCATGGATTAAGGTAAATTTGTTTGTGGTCATCTGTGTGTTGTGCCACGTTTGAATCTCTGGTTATATAATGAAATATGTTTAACTGAGAGATAACAAAATACATGTATAGACAGATATACAGGAAACAGATTCTTTCCAAAGATGTTGGTCATCTTTAGGAGAGGAAGTAAGGAAAGGGTTTAATTATAGAGCTGAGTGGAAACTAGATAAATGATGCTACTGCCATAATATTTAGGAAACCAAGTTGTTTCTTTTTTGGAAGTAAAATATTGCATTATTTAAGAAACCTGCTTAATGTTTGTACCTCATGGGATATGTTTTGTAACTATATATGTTTATTGTTTTGTCATAAAGGTGCTGTCAAGCCTCTTCCTCAGCTGGAATATACCTTTCTATTAAAACTACAACTCAGGGATAAATCTGGTCAACTAGAAGCATTTTTGTGGGAGAAACATGCTGTTGTTAGTTACTTACAACATGTTTATTGACAAGTATGTTAGTTACTTACAGCATGTTTATTGACAAGAAGTATGTTAGTTACTCCATGTTTATTGACAAGAAGTACTGTAAGTAACTAACATACTTCTTGTCAATAAACATGTTGTAAGTAACTAACATACTTCTTGTCAATAAACATGTTGTAAGTAACTAACATACTTCTTGTCAATAAACTAATGTCATTTCACATCTGTTTCTAAAGCATTGTTGTATAGAGAAGTAATATCTTGTAACTGCAAAACACTGGTTGTATGGAGGTAGCTGTAACTGCAAAACACTATTGTATGGAGGTAGCTGTAACTGTAAAACTTGTATAGAGAGGTAGCTTGTAACCGTAAAACTCTTATATAGAGAGGTGGCTGTAACTGTAAAACTGTTGTATGGAGTGGTGGTTGTAACTGTAAAACACTGTTGTATAGAGTGGTGGCTGTAACTGTAAAACACTGTTGTATGGAGTGGTAGTTGTAACTGTAAAACTTGTATAGAGTAGTGGCTGTAACTGTAAAACACTATTGTATAGAGAGGTAGCTTGTAACCATAAAATTCTTATATAGAGAGGTGGCTGTAACTGTAAAACTGTTGTATGGAGTGGTGGTTGTAACTGTAAAACACTGTTGTATAGAGTGGTGGCTGTAACTGTAAAACACTGTTGTATGGAGTGGTGGTTGTAACTGTAAAACACTGTTGTATAGAGTGGTGGCTGTAACTGTAAAACACTGTTGTATGGAGTGGTGGTTGTAACTGTAAAACACTGTTGTATAGAGTGGTGGCTGTAACTGTAAAACACTGTTGTATGGAGTGGTGACTGTAACTGTAAAACTGTTGTATGGAGTGGTGGTTGTAACTGTAAAACACTGTTGTATAGAGTGGTGGCTGTAACTGTAAAACATTGTTGTATAGAGAGGTAGCTGTAACTGTAAAACACTGTTGTATGGAGTGGTGGCTGTCACTGTAACAGCCTGAATGTAAGACAGCTGACTGTATGTCTAAGAAAACAAAGGGTAATATCTGCTGTATCTTGTACTAGTAAGGCCATCAAACCAACTGTGGTATGATAGATGTATATCGGTATAGGTGCAGTATGTATGTGATCAGCTTTCATAAACAACTTGTATTATTGTGTAAACCAGATTAAGGAAGTGAAGTTTATTTAAGCCATTTACACATTTACCTGTCTGTTATGTGGAGTTCAGTTTCTTCTTTCATAAGTTTTTTTATTCTGTGTGTTGGTTGTCCAAAAAGTATCTCATCTAGTTCAAAACTAATGTAATTTTTTATTTCATTCCCTCACTTATACATAGGTTTAAAAAAATGTTGTTACATTTCCAATCAAAGTCCGATATCCAATGACAAATTACTTGACTTTTACTGCTCAAACAAAACAGAAAACCATCTGAATTACATTGTGCACAATTGGCTTATTTTTTGTATTGGTTATTGAAATTAAAAGTTATAATAAAAATTTGAATGTAACCCTGTTAAAAGCTGGTGACAGGTAAACTTTGACCCCCCTGTCCAGTTTCATATGTATTTTATTTAAATGTTTTCTTAAAAAAAATGCATATTAAAACCCAGCTCGACAATCAAAATCTTGTATAGGTATGTTACAGTAATCCATAACAGTTTGTAAGATATAAAATTTTTCAACTCACCACAGGAGAATTTCTTCGGAGGGGTGAAACCTCGTGAATTGCTAGAAAGTGACATGACATCTATTTCTAAAATCCGGCAATACCTTCAGAAAATCTGCATTCGATCAGGTCCAAAAACTACATCGACGAATAAGAGTCGAACATTCCCGCTATTGGAGTGTATTATTGTGTCTTATGAATGTAACTCAAATATAAGACATGCCATTCAACATACAGCTCTCAAATTAGAGCTTCTAGAGTAGAGTGTTATATTTTTAACAGAATAATGGAGATATACTGTTTCATGAAACTTTGTAATTTATCTCAAACGAGAACATTCTGAGGTAGTTCATTATTTATATACCATTTGTTGAAGATTTAGTTGATTTTAAGTAAGTAATGTTACTGTATTGTCAAGAGATTATACTAAATCCTGTAAAAAACGTTTTGTAAAAACATGTTATATAGCCTAGAACATACATTACTGGTCTGAAAAAATATGACACTTATAAGAAACATACATTGTTACCCTTAAGGTATTTGACTCTTGACAGGAAACATACATTGCTATCCTAAGATCTTTGACTCTTTAACAGAAAACATGCATTGTTATCCTAAGATACTTGACTCTTAACAGGAAGGATACACTGTTACACTTAAGGTTTTTGACTCTTGACAGGAACATTATCCTAAGATATTTGGCTCTTGATAAGAAACGTACATTGTCACTCTTAAGATACTTGACTCTTTAACAGAAAACATGCATTGGTATCCTAAGATACTTGACTATTAACAGTAAGGATACATTGTTACACTTAATATATTTGACACTTGACAGGAAACATGCATTGTTACACTTAATATATTTGACACTTGACAGGAAACATGCATTGTTACACTTAATATATTTGACACTTGACAGGAAACATGCATTGTT